ATCAATCATGGGAGAACAGAAGGGCAGTATTTGCATAGGTAGACAGCTCAGGGGGCAGGAATGCATAGGAGAGAAAGACACAGGGAAACGGTAACTATGGTGAGGAATTGGGAAGAGAGCTATTACATTGTGGGGAATTGCAGTTAATGTCATGAAACAAAATGTTTTTGCATGGCTATATAGAAAATGAATTTCCTCTATAAATTTTCACCCAAATAATATTAAGTATTAAAAAATAAGTAAATAAAATGGGAAAAAATACATATGCATAGTATAAAACAAGAAAATGATACAGATAAAGTGGGAGGATATAGGTAGAATGGAAAAATATGGCCCAGAGATGTAGTAAAAGATGTATACTGGAGTGTAAGGAGAACATAAACACAGGTGGACAAAAAAGCTGAAAAAATACTGAGGAAAAAAGCCCACAGAAGGAAAGCAGTGCCAAAGAAAAGCACAAAAGACTTCAAGATTGTATGTGTCAGGCCTTTTCATAAATAAAAAAGTAAGCCATGAAGCAGTGATGGATGATGCCAGGAAAGACCCAATTCTTTTTAGAATTTTTGCTAAGTGTTTAAAGTGAATATTATCTTGAATAATCATATTAGTAAACTCTGACCTGTATATATTGTGGGAGCTCTGGTGGCGTAGTGCCTAAGGCATCTGACTGCTACCCAGGAGGCTAGCAGTTCAAATCCACCAGCCACTCCTCGGAAGGAAGGTTGGGCAATCTAGTTCCGTAGTGATACCACCTTGGAAGGTCACCATGAGTTGGATCCGACTCCACGGCAGTGGGTGTGTGCCTATGTATTGTAGTTCACCAGGGAGGTAGTATAATATACAGGGGAGTGGGTAAGTGGGTGGCTGGCTGAGTGAGTATAGGTGCCTAACATAACAAAATAGAGTAAGAGATTCTGAGTTGGATAGATCTGGGTTAATAGACTTGAAATTCCACTGTCATGTCTTAGACGCATGCCTTGGATAAGGCATCTAATGCTTCAGCTTCCCTATTTATAAAATGGTTTATGATTACATGTGGATTAGATGAAAACTCCTAATTAAGCCATCTAGGCTGTCATAAAATAGATGCCAACTATATGCTGGTTTCCATACTTCTTTCCCAGTAACAAGGTAAAAGGTAAAAGCAATCATCTATGAAGAACAAAAAAACCGAATGAGTTTTGAACAAAAGATCAAATCTTATTTGATAAAAAAAGTTGATAAAAAGTATACTACTAGATGACTGACTCATCAGAAGAGCCCAACGATCCCATTGCAGGCCCAGAGAGCAGGAGTCTGGCGACACGAGGGTACTGAAGCTGGGTCTGCCCTGGCTGACCCTACCCAGGCTATGTTGCCTTCCTTCTGTCTTAGAGGCCATTCTAGGGATGCCCATGACCTCCCTTTCGTGGACCTCAGATGGAATGTATCCTCCTGTTTCCCATTTTGGGCTACCTGAAGCAAGTGCTTGGAGAGGCCAGAAGCCCCTGTGCACTTCTGCACATACACATACAGATTCCCCAGGCCTTCCCTCTTCTCCATCACCCCACTGGTCCCCAGGCTGGGAACCATAATCTCTATCCCCATCTCCTGCCCCTGAGCTGCTCTGCACGGGCCTCAGACCAAGCCACACCTGAGCCTGGCAGTGTCAGGTATCTGTGAGCTGATGATGCCCCTTGCCCACTCCTCACCTCCCACATAGGCCCATCCCCAGAAGTTATGATAGCTTCATGCCAAACTCAAAGAGCAATGCAGAATGAGAACGAGGTTCCAGTGTTTCTACCTGTCACATGGTGCCTGGGGACCCCCAAGCTGGAAGCATGGGTATCTCTGGTACTAAAGATGCTGCCATAGCCCCAGCTGCCTTCTCAGAGCCCTGGCATTAAAGTTTGGGGAATCCTGTCAACAAAAAAAAAAGTATACTTTAAAGTATACAAGTATACTAAGCATTTTAATTTTCTCAAAAATAAACTTTCATGAATCTCTCCACTATTTACTTTGCAATTATTTCACTCTCAATTTAATAAGGGCTGTGTTACCAATGCTTATTACTAATGCTTTCTTCCTAATTTTCCAATAAGCAATTGGCAAGGGTCTTTCACTGGTGACACACTTATACTACAGACAAGAAGTATATGACTAGTAAGTTACAGAAAGTTTACAAGCTAGAACAGGACTGCTTGTGTCAGAATAGCTGAGTCTTTTCTTTTCCTTACCTAAATCAGTTTAGCAGAAGCTGGTCTTGGAAAAATGACAAAGAAAAATGAACAAGCCAGCCTGATGTCTGCTTTTTCTTTTCATTACCTATGTTTAGCAGTCTACTTGGTGTTGCCAGCGAACTGTCACTTCCTTTTATTTCTGTACACCTTGCTATGAGAACCAGATCCTTCACTGATGTCAAGCCAAATGAGGACGCAATCATTTCTTCATAAACAAATGTGTTGGAATCATGTTTTCTCTTTGGGGGGGTGCACAAATTTTTTGTTGCTTTGACTCTTGAAAACATGGGAATTTGAAAAACTCTTTGAATTTTTGAAAATTCTAGTTGCTGAACCTTTATACAATTCATATGCCTCTATTTTGCTCACCCACTTTTCTTGATTGGGAAAAAAATACTTCCTTATTTTCCCAACTGCTCTCCTGCGGGAATCAACCATACTTTCACCTTCTGAAGTTTTAAGTGGATCCATTCAAGAAATACCCTTAATGTTATCCTCCTGGTAGAAGGCTTTTTTAAGCTCCTGAGATATTAAGTGCATGATCTGTAAGGTGGCAGGCAGGGTAAAAAAAAGTTGTTTCACATGATGGACCAGCCCAAAGAAAAAGGGAACTCTGACAACAGACCCATCACAGTCAATTCACCAACATTAAACAACAAAAACAACTCACAACACTGAAAGAAAAAAACAGAAGAAAAAAACAATCCCTGCCACCAAATCCAACCCAATCCACACACAGACAGCCAACAGAACAGTGTAGAACTAACTGCCCCATTGGGTTTCTAAGGCTGTAAATCCTGCAGAAGCAGACTGCCTCATCTTTCTTTTACAGAACGGCTAGTTTGTCAGACCTTTTGGTTAGCAGCCAAATGCTTTTAACCACTATGTCACAAGAACTCCTATCCCCACCACCAAAAAAAAAAAAAATAAACCGAACCAAACTCACTGCTGTCAAGTCGATTCAATTCATAGCGACCCCTCCTTGGGTTTCCGAGGTGGTATCTCTACAGAAGCCCAGTCTTCCAAGGTACAGCTGGTGGGTTTGAACCACCAGTCTTCTGGTTAGCAGTTGTGATGGTTATGTTTTGTGCCAACTGGCTGGGCCTGGTTGAGTGGCTGGCCAGCTGGTGGTAGTATTCCCCATGATGAGACTGGCAATCAACTCCATGGTGGGATCTACCACAAGCAGCTGAGTAGCTGCCTTTGGGATGTGATCTGTGCTTCCCGTATATAAGCAGGAACTTTGGGAATGGTCTCTAGCCTATGGCATGCTTGGACCCTGCATGTTGCCACGTCGTTGCTCAGCAGCCTGCTATATACTCTGCCAACCTTGGGACTAACAATGGACTTAAGTTAATGGCCTGCCATATGGTCTGGTAACATCGGGACTGTGCTTTTTACTTGCCAACCTTGGGGCTTCTCAGCCTCAGCAGCTAGCAGCTGTCTGAGTGAAGAAATGCCTCCCACTTTAGTGGGCCAGGAGCAGGAGGCAGAGCTGGACCCCAAGGTTGAGGGGCTTTCACCCAGCCCCTAGAGCCTGGCACTTTGAACTTAGATTTAAAGCCTCCAAATTTTAAGAATAAACCCGTTTGTTATGCCATCCCATTTGTGGTATGCTTTCTGTCAGAGTGGCACTAGGTAACCAGAAGAGCAGTCAAATGCCTTAGGCACTACACCACCAGATCTCCCATCCCTACCACAGGAACCAGGAAATAGTGCTTAAATAAAGAAAACCACCTGCATACTCTAACACATGAAAAGAGTTTATGCCCTCAAATCTGCATTTGAATTTGATCTGTTGATAAAAAGAATGAAAGGAAAAACAATGTCACAGAGACAGAGGGGAAAAAGAATGTTTATCGTACCTACCACCTATACACATGCATGAGTGAAATCAGTATTAAAAACTACTATAAACATTTTTTGTAGATTTTTCTACTCTGGATTTTTCAAAACCCTTTCTGATTTCCTACTTAATTTTTGGCCATTTTAAAATACTGCTTTTATTTGCTAGAAATCCTTTTCAAAACACAATTTCCAAAGCATTCATTTAATTCCTATTTAAAAGGCTATATAATATCCCCTCCAAAAAACAGATTTTACTGAACTAAATAAAGGTCTGTTACATTAAGGAACAAAGAGTAGGAATGATTTAGAAAAAGATAAAACAGGAATAAACTATATAGTACTTAGGCACAAAATGAACAAACTAAAAAAATAAATCTCTTAAACTAAAGACTCAAATAGAAAATTTAAGTTAAAAATTTTCCAAAAGTACAATATATAGTAAAATAAAAGTTATAGCAAAATCACAGAACTTCAGAATTGGTTTTAAGGAAAGTAACTTTAAATGCCCAGACTGGGTCAAACTAATGTTAACTGTCTAATCTTAACAGTAACATAGGTGAAATCATAAACCTGGTTAAGTACAAACACCCATATATGAAGAAAATTAGGTTAATACTAATTGCTGAACTCCCCAACCCAATGAGATATCAATGAGAGGATACAGAGAATTTGCAAATTAATTTACATTGTAAAATCTAAATATTTAAGAGTAGAAGTGAGAGAGTATCAGTTTGAGGTTTTCAAGTACATGGGTAGTAAAAACTAGTTTGTCTACGTGGAAAGTAAAGAAAAAGTGGAGAAAAAGAAACCAAAGGAAAGTTATAACATAGTTGGGAGTACTGAAATGATCTTAATCAGTATTGAAATTATGTTAATCGTGTCTTATCATCTTATTAATATTTGGCATTTTACATATTTGGATTTTATACTCACCTAAACCTTTTTGTCCAGGGTTCTTGGCAAAGGTGAAGGTAAACTGATAAAAATCTTTAAACTTCACTGTGTCCTTAAGCTCTTGTTCCAACCTTGGCAAAAGAGCTTTTAGCTTTTCTGTACTATCGCACCTGTTAAAAGAAAGATAATTATTTGTTACTTGTGGCAGTCAAGCAGACATGTCTTCCCAAATCTATTTTCTCTTCTTCCATGTAGTAAGAATTTGAGCTGGGCACATGGCACCATAGTTGGAAATTACATTTCCCAGCCCATCTAAGCAACTTGATGTAGCCTAATGCTAAATTCTCAGTAATGGTGTGAATGAAAATCACTGTAGGTTCTTTCTTGCTTAAAAGGAATTTAAATTGACTGGAGTGATAGCTGTACAGCACTGTGAATGTACTAAAAGCCACAGAATTGTGTACATTAAATGGGTGAATTGTATGGTATGTGAATTTCATCTCAATAATAACTGTTAAAATAAACACAAAATCATTGGCCCTCCTCTCCTGCAAGCTGGAGTAAGGATATGGTTTAACTCTTCACCTTTAATCAAGAAAAAGAGTACAATGCTTTGAGGATGATGGAGTAACAAGAAGAAAAGACCTCATTCTCTGAATGATCTCATAAAACTGAGCCACCCTATTAGCCTGGCCTACTGCCTACCTCTGTACTACTATGGAAGAGGAAAACTTCTACCTTATTCAAACTATTGTATTTTGGGGTTTCTTTATTATAGCAGGTTAGCTTGTACCCTAACACAGTTGTTGTTACTGTGTTGTTGTTATGTGCCGTCAAGTCGTCTCTGACTCATAGCGACCTTATGTACAACAGAATGAAACACTGCCTGCCAGGTCCTATGCCAGCCTCATGATCCCTACTATACTTGAGCCCAACGCTGCAGCCACCATGTCATTTAAAATATTTAAATATCACAAAATATTGCTCTATTGCTTTAAAAGTGGATTTTCTCCCCCAAAACTCATTAATATTTAAAAACATAAAATAGCAGAAATTCAAATTAGTGATACATAACCCTTGTCTTTATTTCAATCATCCATTAAGATAGAGAATAAAAGCAACACTTACTCAAAGCTACTCAACAAGCAGCTTTATCTAAGTAGAGCAGAATCAAGGCAAGTAAATTAGATAAAGCCTTGGAAAACATGTCTAAAACGTACATACACATACACATAGAAAGGCGCACATGTACAGCTTAATGTGAGCATGAGTGAAACTGCTACCCACATCAATATATACAATATATGAGGGGAGGGAACACTACAAATATTAAAACTAAAATAAAATAAAAGATATACAATATAACCGGCATGTCAGAGGTACCCTTTTCCCATCACAACCCCCCCCCCCAATACACAAGGAAGAATTTAATTAATTTTACTTTTATGATAACCATTTACTTGTTCTTTGTATTTTTATAAGGAGCTATGGTGGCACTGTGGTTAAAGCACTGGGCTATATCTTAGACTGGCTTCTCTACAGAAGCAAACCTAGTGAAGCTTACATAGAGAGAGAAAGAAAGAGAAAAAAATATATATATATCTCAAGGAAGTGGCTCACACAATTGTAGAGGCTGGCAACTTCCAAGTCCATGGGTCAAACATCAAGTTGGAGGCTTCTCCTGACTCACGTGGCTTCAAGGGCTGAAGAATTTAACATCGGCAGGCAATATAACACACTGCTGGCATCAGAGGCTGATGAATTCAAGATTGGCAGGTAAAATGGCAGAATGTTGGTTCACAGGCTGCAAAGGCAACAATCCCAAGATTGGCAGGCAATATGGCAGGCCATTGGTTCAAGTCCAGTAACCAGAGGTGATGATGAGCCAGATGCAGGATGCAGACCCAGCAGAAAGCCAGAGAACTTTGCCAGGGTATACATATATATAAATATACAAAAACCAAGCCGCACCCTGTGGAAACTCCCTTTCAACTGACTGGCTGCTCATAGGACATCTCATCATGGAAGTGATTATATTGTATTGCATCTCATCATGGGAGATGACTACATCACAACTGCTAAATCACTGAGAATCATGGCCCAGCAAAGTTGACAAAGAACCTTAACTATCACAGTCCACCCCCTCAACTTGGCACTTGGACACAACTCCTTAAAGTTCACATAATCTCTAAATAAAGACAATTTTGAAGTCTTACTTGTGCTTAACATGATACAACTAACAAAGTGTACGACCAAAAAGACATTAGCCCCATTTACATCCTATACTTTATAACCAAAGAAAAATATCTGATGTACACATACAAGGAAGCAATATTCATAACAACCACAGACCTTGTTTCTGTACCTGGTCACATGGTTGTAGCTTGTATCCAGAACTACTTTCTCCCACCATCCATTCTAATTCTCTTTGTTCTCAGTAAGTACCCCAGCAAGTCATGGTTCTTTGCCTGACGAAGTGACCCAGATCTTTATTCCTGAAGGGTCTGGGCCATTAGTAATTCTATCAGAATTGGGTTGCTGTAGTTTTCCACTGACTTTAATCACAGGGTATGGTAGTAAAAAGAGACGTTCTAAGGAATCTCCTGTGTTCCAGACATACTTTTCTTTACCTCCATTAATATCAATACAATTTCCCCTTGGTAATCAGGATCAATCACACCAGACAATATAGTAACTTCCTTCTTTGAGCTGATGCTGAAGAATGAGGAGTCCAAAATGGCCAGGTGGTATTCTTAACTTCCAGTTCAATGGAATCAGTATTGTGTCTTCAGGTGGAAATGTTCCTCCCTTTGGGACTAAGATGTCCAGACCCACAGAGCATAGGGTCACAGGGACAGGAAGCAAAAATTTTTTAGTGGGTCACTAGGAGTAATAGTGAGTGGTGCCACTCCGATCTCCACCCCTTGGTTTCTGGACCCATGAATCCTGGCTACTGGGGAAAAAGCATCATATATTGGACACTGGTTTACTGGAGAATATTGCCCCAAACCTGTAAGGTATTACCACCTGGCTAGTGCTATAAATGTATATTCAGAAGGCCATTCCATCGTTCTATTAAGCCAGCTGCTTCAGGATGATGGGAAACATGGTAAGACCAATGAATTCCATGAACAAAGGCCCGCTGCTGCCCTTCTTTTCCTATGAAGTGAGTACTTTGATCCGATGAGATGCTGTGATACCATGACGGTAAATTAGGCGTTCTGTAAGTCCACAGATAGAAGTTTTGGCAAAAGCACTGTGTGCAGGGAAAGCAAATCCGTATCCAGATTAAGAGTCTATTCTAGTAAGAACAAAACAATACCTTTTCCATGATGGAAGTGGTCCAATGTAATCAACCTGCCACCAGATTGCTGGCTGATGACCTCAAGAAATGGTTCCATATCAAAGACTTGGTGTTGGTCTCCACCACCAGCAGACTGGGCACTCAGAAGTGGCTGTAGACAAGTAATCCTTGCTGAGCAGAAGTTCATGTTGCTGAGCCCATGAATAACCTCCATCCCTGCCACCGTGAACACTTCATTCATGAACCTACTGGGCAATGACAGGAGTGGCTGGAGAAAGAGGATGACCAGTTTCCACAGAACATGTTATCCTATCCACTTCATTATTAAAATCTTTCTCTGCTGAGGTTACCCTTTGGTGAGAATTCACATGATGCCCAGATATCTTCACGTCTTTGGCCCATTCAGAGAGGTGTATCCACACACCTCTTCCTCATACTTCTTTGTCATCAGTTTTCCAAGCATGTTCCTTCCAAGTCCCTGACTAATCAGCCAAACCATTGGCCAAAGCCTATGAATCAGCATACAATCATACATCTGGCCATTTCTTCTTCCAATCAAAGTGAACAACCAGATGCACTGACCATCAGGAGGAGTTTATCACTGTCCTTCAGGGAAGTCCCAGGAAGGGGCTGCAGTGCTGCTGCTGGCCACTTTCAAGTGGTGCCTACATATCATGCAGAACCACTGATAAACCAGGCATGAGTTTTCTCTTCTTCAGTCAACTGATCATAAGGAACTCCCCATGGGGCCACAGGTACAGATTGGGAGAGGGACAGTAGTATGACTGGGATAGAGACCATAGGTATTTGGGTCACTTCCTTATGGAACTTACTTGTGCCTTCAGGTTCTCCTCAAGCCTGATTTCTTATATACCACTTACATATGATGCAGTGCTGCTGTGCATGTTCAACGTTATGACTTTCTGCGTCAGACAAAACCCAGTTCATGATGGGCAGCTCAGGCTGCATGGTGACTTGGTGGCCTATAGTTAGGCATTCAGCCTCTATTAAGGCCCAGTAACAAGCCAAAAGCAGTTTCTCAAAAGGAGAATAGTTTCTGCAGAGGATGGCAGGGCTTTACTCCAAAATCTAAAGCGTCTGTACTGTGATTGACCAATAGGGACTGCCAAAGACTCCAAACAGCATCTCTATTTGCCACTGACACTTTAAGCATCAACGGATAAGCCAGATGATAAGGCCCAAGTGGCAGAGCAGCTCACACAGCAGCCTGAACCTATTGCAGAGCCTTCTCTTGTTCTTGTTCTCTTAGGCCCTGCTCAAAACCAGCAGCTTTTTGAATCACTTGATAAACAGACTGGAGTAGCACACCCAAATGAGGGATATATTGCCCACTAGGTGTCATGCCTCCTTTTTAGCTGTGGGAGGATCCTGATGCAATAACCTATCCTTCACTTTAGTAGGAACATCTCAACATGCCCCACAGCCTGGACTCCTAGAAATTTCACTGAGGTGAAAGGTGCCTGATTTTTTGGTCAGGTTAATTTCCCACCCTCTAGCACACAAATGTCTTGCTAATAAATCTAAAGTCATCGATACTTCTTACTTAAAAGGTCCAATCAGCATAATGTCATCAATGTAATGGACCAGAGTGAAGTCCTGTGGAAGGGAAAGGTGATCAAGGTCCCTGAGGAATAAATTATGACATAGTGCTGGAGAGCTGATATATGCCTGAGGGAGGATGGTGAAAGTGTACTGTAGGCCTTGCCAGCTGAAGGCAAACTGCTTCTGATGATCCTTTTAAACCGACTGACAAAAAGGCATTGGCCAGATCAACAGCTGCATACCAGGTACCAGAAGATGTATTAATTTGCTGAAGCAATGAAACCACATCTGGAACAGCAACTG